GAAATGATTTTATATCATCTGTTAGTATTTCTATTTTTAAAATACTTAATTCTAAATTCTTTCTTTTTTGTACAAATATCCTACTTTTGTGAATACTTTTAATTCATCAGATGAAAAATATCATTGTGTACATTGAGGATAGGCAAGTGAATATTTCTTCATTCATACTCACACTCTGAAAATATCAGTAGTCTAATAATTGAAAATAATTTTATTAGCAGATGCAAGGAATACGAAAACATAATTGAAATACATAATCAATCAAACAAAGTTTACAGATGTTCACAATCGACTAGACAGATCCTACCGTGTATATAATCATCGGCAATATATGAACTTATGATATTTGATAACGAGTATTACACATTTCTAATGAATCATTAATAAGCAGTACTTATGTTAGTTATTTTAAAAGTTTATTAACTACTATCCATTTCAAAATATCATGTACTGTACTGTTTCTCGAATAGTTTTTGATAGGAACATCATAGAAACTTGCGGTTTTCAGCGTTCAAGAGAGAAGGCTCAAAGCGATCGAAATATACCCAAAACTGATTCCTTATCAGCTAATCAAACATGTGAGTTCTTGGTGAAGATTCTAAAAAATGATATTTTGAAACTGTTTTCCTTTCTATCTACGTAAAATCAACATTCTTGACTTTTACTAAGACCCATGATTTCAGTCAATTGACTTGTGATCGATCATTCGAAAAAACATCTTAGCAAAGGTAATTTATCATAGAGAATCGAATGGTTGTATTTGTTTTCACATTCGAAATGATCTAATTCTGTTATATTAATATTTCTTCTACTCTTCAATTAGTCGCTATGTAACGAACGAGTCGACATTTCAGAAATATTGAGATAACATTGTCAGATGATTTCGAACCTAAAATCAAATATCATCATTCGAATCAAAATGGTGAATTACCTTGGACTAGCTGTTTTTCCGAGTAATCACAGGTCACTTGATTGAAATTGGGGTCTCTGAAAAAGTTTTATAACTCTCCAAAGGAACAAGTTAAGAATGTTGGTTTTGTGTAGACCGAAAGAAAAAAAAATTTCTACTGAAAAGCCCTATTGAAAGTCTCAATTGAAAGGGAAACATCTTTAGAATATCGTTTTCGAAAGGCTCCACTAAGAACTTATCTGATTGGTCAATTGCTGATCTATCAAGTTTCCATATACTTCGACGGCCACATAAGTCTTCTCTCTTGAATAGAAAAAGCCACAGATCTCTATGATGTTCCTATCAAAAGTTATTCAGAATACTGTGAAGCATACTGTATTTCGAAATGGATAGTAATTAATTATATGCATCAAGATTGATCATAATCATATTCAGTTTTTCATCATTGTTATCAATTGCACATTTTGTTTGACTCTGAAACGTTTTGTTTTTTCTACCAAACAGCATACTAAAAGTATTTTTGTAGCAGTTCGCTACAGCAAAAGTCTCTTTTTCTTAAATATAATGAATATCAAACATACTCAGATAAAACTGATTAAATAGAACAGAGTATGAAAGATAACATTTATGAATATATCTGTAATGCTTTGATCTTAAATTCAGATTGAGAAATGGTTTGTTTAATCATTTCTACCAAAAGGAATTTTTATTATGTATTTATGAAAAGGTTGAAAGAAAATATGTGTACAAAAAAAAGTGTGACATAAGCTTTTTCAAATTTATATATTGGATAAAGATGACAATGGATTATTCAGAAAAGTAATATATTTTATGTCTATCAAAAACCTTAATTATCAACTCCGAAACGTGCTGTTTCTGTTATTTCTGTTTAATGAAAGTTATTCAATGTTATTATCTTCTTCTATATTGATATTTTTCAACTTAGGAAATCTTCGTAAAAAGAAACCAGAAATTCACAATGATTTGTTTTCGAAGTCACACATTATTTAGTGACGTTATCTAGATAAAAGCTGACATATTCGTTCTCAGAAACACATGATAATTTCTGCTAATAAAGTAATGATAGTAAAATTTGCTAACAAGCGATATAAAATAAAATAAAATATGATCACACATATTTTATATTATTTTTATCTTTTCAATGATACGATAGATGAGTTTTCTGATGCTTACGCCTTCATCAATTATATACAAAAAGTAAAAAAACAACATCAATATTCTTTTACTTAGTTCAACTCAAAAGTAGTGCACACAAATATGTAACATCTTCTAGTATGAATGATTCGCTAGTATATTTCTTCATAGCTAAATAAAATTATCTTTATAGAAACGAATAAGTTTTTCGAAATATATTTCTTTTATTTATCTACTTTTCATTACTGTTCTATTTTATTCTATCGCTATCATACAATGTCAATTGTAAAATACTCAAAAAGCAAGAATCAACTTCTATTTGATGACTTTTTCTATTGGTCCGTCAATAAACCTCAAACAATCAAGTGTTGTTATAGAAATAATTGTGCGAGTCGTATATATTTCAATGATATAAAATATGTTAAAGCCACAGACCATATTCAAGCACCAAATCCTGAGGAAATACTATCAATAGAACTTAAATCTAAGATTACGGATAGTGCAACAACATCGCACGATCTATTTTGACGAATTTATTCAAATAAAATTATTTTCTTATATTTCTTAATCTCTTATTTATATTGATCGTAGGTATCCATATGATTTCTTTTCAAAACCACAACTTAGTGAATCGATGTTGATGAAGAGAAATGTTTTCATTGACATTTATAGGATTAATGATTTTGTTTGCCATGAGATTTTACGTCGCTTGATGGTTTTTATTGTCAATAGATGGATTTAGACTGAAATAGAACTCTTTTTCGAATCTCTTAATGATTCGATTTAGCGAAAAAAGGAATGAAAGACGATTGATAATGAAATTGCACATTGTGCAAGAATTATTCCGATTTGATCGAAATGTCTTATTCGTTTCACGTTTTCTTCTGCTTCGATCAACATTGACTGGTTCTTTCTTAATTAACTTTGATTCTTGTGAATCGATGATCGATATGTCAATATTTTTCTCCATTTGATGCGAGTGTTTTTGATTTAAACAGGTATTTATTAATGTCAGCTTGATGATTGGATAAATCGAACTTGTGTTATTATGATAATAGGGTAACATGAAGTGTAACAAGAACATAGAAACAAAGGTCTGTGTGCATTTTTGTGTCCATAATGATGCATCTGCATTTGCACTCATCTATTGTTTTGATATTTCTCCTTGGGGGACGATGGGGGGAGGGCGAACACGAGCATCTCGCTTGTTCGCTTTCGTTCTATGGTGACGTATTGCCTACAGAAAGTGACATACTTTCAAAAGTAACACATACCGAAGGGTAGTCATTATTACATGATGTTCGTATTGGTTGTCTATGAGCAGTAACACTTGGCAAGCAAAATGAGACAACACTCATTTTCATTTAGACAAAGAAAAATACCTTTCGAATGCCTGACTGGACATGGTGAGATCGAGTTAGATTCGATGTGAAGACTGTACATATTCGAAGACTCTAACAATAAGTGGAGAAATTTTATTATTTTTATCGTAACGAACGCGTTTATTTCGGTTGTGTTTGAAAGCCAGTCGGATTGATATTTGATGCCATTCAGTGAGCTTTTTTTTCTATTTGATGTATTTTTCCGATCGAATGTGACGATGGCAAACACAACTTGCATAGAACTTTTTTCAATCATTTGAATTCCACAATTTTATGTTGAAAAAAGTAGTCAAATTTCGATATGTCAAAAAAGAAGGTCCAGAAAAGCAAATCATTCAAGACTTTTCTATTACTCATTAGCACTCATCAAATGAATATCGTTTCAGTCGAAAAGCAATTTGACAATGGGAGAGGTTTTCTCGTTAATGTCATTATGATGTAGTCGGATTTGGCGAATATCACGAAGTTTTCAATGAGAAAACTGTCCGAAATATCAACATTTGTCCGAAAAAAGAAATGATGGGTAGAACTCAAAATTCTTCGATAATCTCGCCTGAGTGTACTTGAAGAAGCTTGATGCCGGGGCTTAGTTCAGCAAGCATTGCCATGTTGATATAAGAAAGCTGATTCTGTTCGATCAATGTATGAATCTTGTCATTCAACACAACTTTGAATCGAGATGAAAATAGAGAGCACAACAGCGAAGTATTCGTCCATTTCGTATCAAATTCGTCAAATAATCGAGATTTTCGCGGACACGATAGATCAATACGGCAAAATGAAAATTCATTGGATTGATGTTTCATTCATCTGACGTGACACAATCATTTTAAAACATAGAATAGTTCGATTAGTGAATCCGGACTGAAAAACTCGAATATAGTGCTAAATTTTCTTTTGTGAATTTAAGTTGTAACTTTTGGAAGAGCTATTAGTTGTTCTCCTGCGTAGTTTACAATCGTTTCGAATTCGCGAAATTTCAGTATGCTGAAAAGCTCCTAAAACAACTGTAACTCGGAAATACAGATCCCAATGCCACAAGTAAGATAATTTTTCACACTATTTTCTGGAATTAATCTAATATCAATATTCTCAAGTGAATATTGCTTTTTTTCCACATCCAGAGAAGCTCTGTCGTCAGTTGAGTTGAGCATAGAAAAAAATTGAGTAAATCCGTAACAATCAATAATGTGAAATGAGGAGGACACCTGTGCTAGAGATAGATAAATGGAGCATTAAACAGTGAGTTTCCTGTGAGAAAGAGGATTATTGAAGAGAATATGTCACAATACTAAGATACCACATATAACAATGATATCGCCCCCCCGTAATAATTGCTCTTTTCTTTTCAGCTGTTTTTATTCATCCAATAGTAAGAATCATATCTGGATTCAAAAGTGAACTTTTCAACCCACATGCACATGTTGTATAAAGGCTTTATTTCTCCTTCGAAACAACATTATATTTCAACTTAAAAAGTAAAAAGTTATATTGTCATATTTGGTTCACGAATGTTCAAAAAGTTTTCTCATATATTATTCTTCATTGAATCAATGGTTGCCTGTATGGCTGTTGGTACATATTTTATGATTGCACAAGCAGAAACAACAGTATTAACAACAACATCTCAACCTTCCTTCACATCACTAGAAGAGCTGAACAAACAATTTCTACGTCATTACAGAAAGGCTCGTGATGATTTTTGGCGTTTAACAACCGAAAATGGTACAGTCTTCATCAGAAATGGCAGTTCTCTAACTTTGATTCATAGAGGAATTCGTTATCCAACGATCAAAACAATTCCACAGATTTTTCATCAATTAAAAAGTATTGCACACATTCCACTCACCGTCTATCTTCTTTGCAATGAATTGCCTATTGTGTCCGATGATATACTCGAACAATTTTGGAAACAGTTGAATAATATTCAGTTGCCAGATTTAATCGGATCGGAGCGTCAGTCAGCTCTTCGAGTTATATATGAATCTCGAATAATCATTCGACAAAAGATCGACAATAGAACGTCAGTTGATCAAAAGCGCCTAACAGCCTACAGTCGGCATATTTCGAATGACCTGATTTCGTTGATAGACGCAGGTGCTATTGCTAGTTTGAATTCAACACATCGTATCATTCAAAATTGGCTAAAGGAACATAATATCAATCGGCACGATCCATCAATAAAAGTGATAGTTATCGGTCCTCGAGCAGCTCGTCAAAATAATATCGATGCCACGTATTTCGAACATTTTCTTGGTGAAGGTAAAAAACGAAATATTTTCTACATTGAAGAAATATACAATGATGAAAAGAAAATCACTTCAATTTTTTCTGCTTGGTATCTTGAAGAACAAATCAGTATCACTTTTTTCAATGATAATAATCGAATGCATAATGATTTACTAATGACTGACAATGTGCGACAGTATATGATCAAACAATTATTTCATTGTTAGACACTATATTTTTAATTGAATATCGTCAAAATGATGATACAATATTTTTCTTTAATAAATATTTGCTGTTCAAATAAATAAATAGGCAAATTCTAGAATGAAACAACCTAATTTTTTTAACTTTCGTAAGTCACAAAGTTATGGGAATTTCGTCTTTTTTTTTTCTTGGTAAATGCGCATTTCAATGTTGCATGAATTCATTTTTGGAATAAGAAAGTGTTATTATAATTCAGAGAATTTTGCATACAAAGAATAGTCACAGCGCGAATTTTTCTCTTTTGAATTTTGAGAATTGAATTTAATGAAAGTAATAGCTAACAACAAAGAACTTTCATTTATATTGCATTTGACAGAAGACAATTCAATGCTATACCAAAAATCGAAAAACTTTTGATTTTAATATTCAGAAAGGTGTGGACGAGGCGACAGTAAATCATCCGATAGATAGAAAGATCCTTAAATCTATATCGAACATATCTTTATTTTTTCATTCTTGACGGTAAAGATTTCAGTATATACGTATGTATAAATAAAGATTTGTTCAAGTACTAAAATATGTGGTATCTTTAATTTCAACAATGAAATTTTCTCAAAATAGATTTCAAATTTTCTTATCTATCTGATGATTCAACGGTTTCACTTCCATGTAATGTTTTGGGAATCGAACCGATACTGCCGAACTCTAGTAATGAGTGACAAAAGAGATATTTCTAGGACTGAAGATGCATTATAGAGAACATGAATGACTATGGCTTACTCGAAAAGCTTTCTAATGGTCTTTGAAAAACATCTATCTTATCTGTTTCTAGAAAATGACTCATCGAAAGATTCTGTAATTTTGAGACTAGATGGATTCTTCCTACTAAAGTTTATTGAAATTCGCTTATTTTTCTATATAAATTTCAATAAATTCTTCGGTGAGCTTCGATAAATTTCTAGATAGATGATGATAACTTGGGTCAACGTCAGACGTTTTCCTAGGCAATATAATTATCTGCAACTATCCACAATACTCATTGATAAAAATCATAGTCATCTGAATGCAAACGAATCGAATAACTGAATAAAATGATGGAATGATAAAATAATGATACATCATTAACCATGACGAAATCTATTCGGATATCATAGTTTGGAAATCATTTTTTACCAATTCTCTTTCAGATGTACGACGAATTCTGTTTTCAACGTATTCGGAATTTGAATTTACACAAATTTTCGTTGAAATAAGTGGTCTTAGAATCTTTTCAAACATCTTACATTCTATCTCAATGGTTCTCTATTGGATGTCCAGATTTTATCTCCTTATAAGATGCTACTGATACTTAGTTAAATAAGATTGACTTTAGTCGGACAAATACATCGAACTTTTAATGAACTATAGAATGTGAATGCAGTGTTTAAACACTCTATTCGTTCACATCCATTCTAAAACCAAATATGAAGATTAATATAATGAACCGTGTTCTATTTAATAAGTATATACTGTCTGTAGACCTACAAACCAACAATGTAGAACGAAAAAAATAATCACGCATTCTATCGAAAACATAATATTAAACGAATGACCTAATTGCTCTAGCTTGTTGTAAAAAGCAATCAAGTATAAAAGTATACTGAAAGTGGTGGCCATTACTAAGTATATATGTGAATATCTATCATGCGCTGATTCTAGCAGCTATATACCAATGAGAATTTCGAATATTTTGTTGATGAATTTCATCAAACATATCGCTTTTTCAAATATGATTATATTTTGGTAAGATCTTTTGATACAGAAAGTCTTTTTTCTTTATTATAGAAGCAGAGTTTTAGATGCCAATCACTAGGAAGAAGATGAACGAGTTGAAATAAAAATTACCGATTTTAGTGATATCTAATAGAATTGAAAAGAAACTTTCTTTTTCGGTTTGATTTCAACTTTGAAGAACCCGATTCAAATCCATCTGTAACATTCACTACTATTAATTTCTTCTGCTCAAAATGAATACAAAGTTTGTAATAATTGTAATGAAAAGTCTGTTTGGACTAATTAAAGTACGCATCGATCTGAGACGAAATATGTAATGAAGTAATTTTATGCCTTTTAGTTCTTATGCAAATGGAACACACACACGCATACATACAGATATGAAAAACATGTCAATATTAATAAATAGAAAAAAAAGATAAACATGAAAGACAAAAAAACATAAACACAGAAAAAGAAAGTATACAATATTATGCACATCAACACAGGTAATAAAAAAAAACACGAAATGATTTAGTATTGAATCTTTCTAACTTTTCATAGACAAAACAGTCTTTGTCTCATGTTATTATGTCGATTATGTTTGTAGGTTAAGCATTGCATAAATATAAGATCTAGACTAATGTATATTAATATACATACAAACAAAATCATCAAGAGAAAAAGTCTGCTTAGCTCATACTTCACATTGTAGAAAAATAAATGTCATCTTTCGTTTCTGTTTATTTTAAACATTATTCATATTTCAAGAAGAATATCCCATAAGATGTAATGTATTTCGCACTTTCGCGCTATATATAATACGTTTGAAGAAAAAAAAGACGAAGTATGCTAATAAAAGGGTAAAACAAAACCAGGATGTGCTTACACTGGCTATTATAGTTTTATTTAAAAGTCAAGACGTACAGATCCAACAAAAGAAGAAGAACGAAAAAGAAAAAAGAAAAGATTGTGAGTATATGAATGCATAAGATCACGCTATGTCTTAAACAATACCATATATCAGTCGATGGTCACGTTATACGTACTATAAGAAGATCATTGAAATAAGATCACACCATATAGAAAATAAAGTACAATGTAATTAAGAGAACGAAATGATAATAGAGTCGTCAAGAATTGCCACGATCGTAATGGAGAGAGAAGAACTTCAATGTATCTCAACTATAATTTTAAAAGTTTTCTCTCAACCAGACGTACAATTAATGGTTTCTTATTCAATTATAAATTGATACATGCCAATATACAATAATAAAAATGAAGATAAACAAAAATTTTCAGTCTCTTTCCTAATGCATCGTTTTATGGAAATTAAATTTATAATTGAATATTCTAAAAAACTAATCTACGAATGAATATTATTCATTGAAACAACAAATTATGATCTATCCCACCATAAAACTTTGTTATTCAAATTTACATATAACCTTCAAAAAAATAATTTGATAGGTTGCTTTGAAATAAACAGTGAGTCACAAGAATATAGTAATTATTTATATTCAGCGAGATATTTACATGCACACTATTTTGACGTTTTCACTGAAAACTATTAATGTTTATTATAGTGTAACTTTTTTTTGTTTTTCTTTTTTCTTCTCATGTGATTATCGTACGATATGACGTTTCTCTGTATTTCATATTTTCACCTTTATATTCTTTTGTTCTTCTGTTTTATATATCTACATGAACAAGATGCATGCATTACAAGTTTGTTAAATATTCTGTTACAAATGACAGATCAAAATAAATCACGTGTGACATCATTGAGATCATTTCTCTTGATAATCGCATTAATATTTGCTTTGTTCATTACTCATTATATTATATCTGTTCGTGTTCCTGGTCCGATGATACATCCAATAAAATATAAAATTATTACAGGTACTTTTGCTTTCATCCTCGATTTTGTAAGTAACATGAAGAAATTCGTTTTGAGATTTTGATGTTTTGTGTTCTTTTTTTATTTTGCAGAGTCAGTTTGTTGAATTAATCTTTGGTATACCTTATTATACGACACTTAATACTATAGTTGATTCACTTGATCAAGTCAAAATACGTTCTTTCGATCATGGTCAAGTATTGGTAAGTAATAATATGTAGTTAGTTAATTTTTTTTAATTTTCTTGTCTGTAGTATCATGATCAATATATAGACGATGTTCTTGTTCGTATCTATACACCAAGCAATATGTCAAAAACATTATTATCTCCAGTGATTATATTTTTTCATGGCGGTGGATTCTTTTTTGGCAGTATTTGTAAGTTATTTTTAAGATTACCCCTCTCCCTTAAAAACCAATCTTCAGTTAGATACATTCGAATCTCATGAAATTTTCAGCTCTGCTCCCATGATGTTTTCGGAAGATATTCAACAAGCAAAGATCAAAAATACTTCATTTTGACAATCCAAAATTCCCTGTAACCCTTCGTTCTATATACTTAATTTGTTTTTTGTTTGAAAGAGCATGTCAGGATGCCAAACATGAGAGATTCATTTTTTTAAATTATTAAGTTTTAGGCAGAGCAAAGTTCAACGTTTCGAAAAACTCCTAAAAAACGGCTCTCTAATTATTAGAATACTCTTTCTATATGACATTAACAAAACTTAATTTAAAAAAAAGAATTCTATCGCGTCTTGCATCTTGATATGCTTTCTCAAATAAAAATAAATAAATATGTATATATACAATGAAAACCCACAGAGATTCCTTGGTTGCGCCATCAAAAAAACATACACGGAGAAAAAGATTTCTCTTTTTTTCAAAAAAACAAACATGTTTTTCAATCAAAATAACTTGTCAGTGTAGCCTCATGAATGGCCAAAGTGTGGAACTCACAAACTCTGACTATTACAAATTTATGGTATAGTGTCAGAGAGGTTAAAATAATCTATTTTCATTTAGTATTACTAGTCAATTGATTTATCAATCAAATTCATTTAACGTCGAGATTCTAAAAAAAACTTATTTGTATTGTCAGATATACCTTCACTATATGACTTCTTTTCTCTTAATAATAATATATACGATTCATACCATAGGAAGTGACAAATAGCATTTTATTCTTCGTTACACCAATTGAACGACCATATTAGATTGCTTGACAGATTGATTTAATCTCTGAGCATACCATTTTTTCTATCGACACATTTTAGCATATACTGTTGATTCTTGCGTAAACTCGGAATTGAATTAGTTTATACTTTTCTATGTCCATCCTATTATGACTCTGTTTTATCAGTAATACCGTTGTTCCACTGATTGACATCTATAATAAGTTCCTTTCGCTACATTAAATACGAAAAAAACCGCAATATTTAGCCTAGTTGGAATCTACGGTAGGAGTCATAGATCCATAGAATGCTTTGGAAGGTTCTAGAATGATCTAAGCACTGTTATTACTGACACATCTATGGTTATTGATAAGAAAACGTACCCAATTGATCTTTGACTTTCCTTCTGCAACTACCGATTATTATGTTAGTTCCACAAAATGAGGGAAGCCATTTAAAATTTTTGGGAAAAACGAGGTGCCAAACAAGAAAAATCATGTAATTGATGAAAGATCAACCTTCGAACAATGCTTCTGTGCATTATGTCTCAGTTTTCATTTTTTTTTTAATGAAAATTGTTTTCTTTTTGAGGGGAAGGCGGGGTGGCCTAAAATTCCCGAGAAAAACATGTTTAATAATTTCAATAGATTCTCATGATACTATGACTTATCATATGTCAATGTACAGTGGTGCAAAAGTTATTTCAGTCAAGTAAGTACATTGTAATATGAAATAATCATAGATAATAATTAATATATCATTAGTTATCGATTAACACCAAATATACATTATCCAATATCAATTGAAGATAGTGTTAAAGTAACACGATATGTTATGGATAATTATCAAGAATTTTCTATTGATCCTGAACAAGTTTTTCTCTGTGGTGATTCAGCGGGTAGGTTGAATCTTATAAATATAATATAGAATTGTATAATTCTACTTTTTTTTCTGTAGGAGGTAATATAGCCGTTGTAGTCGAACGACATTTACGTCGTAAACAAAAAACACTTATTCGTGGTGTTCTTCTTCTTTATCCATTACTTCAATTGGTTAATTTTCGTTTACCATCTTATTTAACAAATTCACCTTATAATATTCTATCACTTCTTCGTGAAGATATTCTTACACAAGTAACGAATTTCTATGTCAATACATCATTTACTAAAAATGAACTTTTCAAAAATCAACATTTATCATTTGATGATTATAATTACTTTTATTCTAAAGTTAATTTAGAAGTTTCAAAAAAAGATCACATCAATGCAAAATCTCATCAAGATACTTGGAAATTATTCAATGAAAATATTTCACCATTATTAGCAGATGATGAAATTTTACATAATAGTCCATCAACATTTATTGGTGCTTGTACATATGATGTTCTTTTATCTGATGCTCAGTTATATTTTCAACGTTTACAAAAACTGAATGTAAAAGACATTATTTTTAGAGAATATCGTATATTTCATGGTGCAATGACATTTGTTGATTTTCCAGTTGCTTTTAATGAAGCTTTTGATATTATTCATGATTGTGCTCAGTTTGTTATTAATAGAACTAGTTTCATTACATGAAAAGGTGTAGACAAAAAGATTGTGCATTTCTGTTTTTGTTTGTCAGATTGGTTTTATTTCGTTTGTTTGTAATATTTAAGTTTAAGAATAGTTTCTTTTCTTATATTGAAGTTTAAAACATTCATATAATATTCTATACTAAAATCATAAATATTAAATCTTTAAAAAGTTGTGTTACTTTTGTTTTAAAAAAAAATTAATAATAATATTAAATATACTTGATTTTCTATCGCTGTTGATTCCAGTGGTTAGTATTTTCAACTGAACACCACTTTGAAAGTGTAATTTTCGTTTCATGAGAGCTCTTTTCTTTTAAGGTTATATATAACTTATACGACTCAATGTCTAATCATCCTAGTCGTTGATATAGCAAGTCTTATTGGATACTTCCTTTATGGATCAAATAGTGAAGGTATTACATAAATGAATTGAGTTCGAGTACTTATTGCTCCTATGAAATTTGCTAATTTAATTGTGTTTTCTCTGTTTATTGTAACTTATGAACGATTTCATTTTACTACAGCATAGTAGTCGAATTCTTTAATTTTTCAAATCCTGTTGTAGTTTTGTAAAAAAAATATTCGTTTGGTAACATTATTGAAAAATAGAAGATGTTAATCTTCATGTATCATAATATCCTATCGTTCGCTTATATATTTTTACTTACATTGAAGATACATTTATTGAGAATATGCCAGTCGGAATTGCTCAATCACTAAATAATAATAATTATTTATCAGTCATTATCTATTTTCATGATAGTGTATTTTATATGGGTTCAGTTGATAAATATGATTAACATGTATTAATATTTATCTTAATAAAATTATAGATATATATAATGTACTCACCAGTGTAATATCAAGATTAGCAAATGTAGTTGTTATGTTGGTTATTCGATTCATTTTTAAACACTTCTACATGTTTTCTTTATACAGGGGCCGAGATCCGAAAAATCAAAATCTTCGGGACCAGGATCAGAACCAACAAAACTTTACCGAGACCAAGAAAAGTTGATCTCGCACATCTCTACTCGATAGACTTAATCGAATGACGCAAGTCTCGTTTCGAAAACTTTTTATCACTTGAGGAAGTTTCCCTGTTAGTCTAAATCCAATCATGAACTTGATAAAAATTAACAAACTTTTTTAAATTAATTTTATTCATTACAATTTTCCGTGAAGTTAGATTACCAATAATATAAAAACGTACGATATCACAGAATTTAAAGGTAAAAATAATGTACAGTAAAACCGCTCCTAGCAGACATCTCAGTATAATGCACCCGTCATATAACCAGAAGCGACGCGAAGAGTTCGAAGCAGAAGGGTGTGGGAGTAATCTGAAAATCGGAAAAAAGTCACCAATTTTTCTGTTATCATGTGTTGATAATTTCTCAGCCCTTTCTGAGCTTAAGTCTTCTATAAGCTGGAATTTTTTCAGAGCTCAGAGAAACTTGTCTAATAAATTTCTCGAAGTCGGAGAAAACTTCAGATATTTTCTCGAAAACGGAGAAAAGTTCGTCCGAAATTTTCCAGAAATGAGAGAAAGCTGTCCTTAAGTTTTCAAAAGCTAGGGAAGCACCCCCCCCCACCACNAGAGTTTGATTGAAAATAAAAGTTAGTTTACTCTGTTTCTTAATATGTGGATTTTTCTCTAACAAGAACACAAATATATTAGCGTTAATTATACAAATTCACAAACTACTAACGTCACTGATCGATAAGAAAAAACATTTTATTATAATAATTTTGTAAGTCCTAATTTGTGCTGTAGCTTTACTTTTAAGCTTCTAATATTTATCTAAATCAATAAATGTAACATATAGATACACGAAAACCCAAAGTAAAATATAATGCGAGATGTAGATACATTTTACTTATGACAATGAAGAAATTGTTGTTGTTCTTGAGTATCAATCGAATCGCCATTTTTCTTATTCGTATCGATCTCTGGTGCAAAAGCTTTACAACCTATTTTAAGCGTATGAAAACGTGCACTTTGTGTGTTGTGTTTTTGTTGTTGTTCTGACTAGATCACATACAGAATTGTTGGAAATATCCTCTCATCATATGTCGATTTTTTCCAAGATGAAATGTTGAATTTTGTTCCACCGTGCTGTCATATGTCATAAGCTGAATTTTTCTAATATATTCGTTTATATTATACTTGGTTCTTGTCTAACATGCTTGTATGTGTCGTATCAAAGTAACACTGATCGACCAAGTTATAACTTCGACAGACAAAATTGACGAAGCTACAACTTCGCCACATGATTGTGTCAAACTTATAACTTCGACGCTAATGTTTGACGAAGTTACTTCAGTTGAAATAGATACCAAATAAATATCAGTTAATTCAGGATATTTAAAAAAATATGTAAAGTTAAATTATTTTTTCATTTTAAAACATTTTTATTGCTTTTCTACGAATAAACGTAGAAATTATTCAAAAAAAATCAAACATTGTTTTTTTTTCTAATAGTCTATATGATTATAGATCTATTCATATCGCACTCTAGATCGGTAACTAATAAAGAAGAGATATTTAGAATACTATAGTCTGATTTGAACATACTTCATAATAAGAAAAATACTACTTATAAGAAGAAATTCAAAACGCTTAACAGAGTCAAACTCACTGAGTTAAACAAAATCTTCGCGTGACTGGATATTTTAATAACAGGATTCAATATTATCTAAGCATCAGTTGAATATAAATTCTACTAGTGAAATTAGTTTCACGGAAGAATGCATCAGATAAACATCATACGAAAAATGGTAAATAAAGCAGTAAGAGCGATTTGTGACCTTGTAACATTATCGGCAAGATCTTATAAAGATTCATATTTTGAAATTTGTGGTTTATATAGAAAAATTCGGATCTGTCAGTTGTAATATATTACATATTTTGACTGCACTAGAAGGAAAGCAAAGTCCAGAGTATGCATATTCTGCATCCTGAGCTGTTTTGTTTTCGTCTTGATATCCCATGTCGCGAAAATCACCGCGATTTTGACGATTTAGCGAAAATTCGACGTTAAATCGTGATCAATCGTATTTCGCTAAAAAAAACGGTGATTATATCGTATTTTATCGTGATTATAGGAGAAGAAGCGATTTTCAAAAATCGGTGATAAATCGGACGGAGCGATAAAATCACGTTTTATCACTAATTTTGATAATTGATTACGAGTTATGATTTAGTTCAAGAAATTTTTCAAACTTTCTCAATCTGAGAATCAAATATAATTTCTGTATAGTTATTTAATATAGTTATTAAGATTTGAAATCAAAAGAAAGATTTTATTTCAACATGGATGTCACTACTGTGACATGAATAAGATTGGACAATTTTAAGAAACAATCGAACTTTTAAAGCTCTTTCACATTAAATTTTTAGCTTCAATATTTTCTCAATTAAAGTTTGTTCATAAATATCTAGTTTTATATAATTCAATATATCTATGATAAATATAGACCGGAAAACCTGACTTTCTACCATGTAACAATGACTTCTATTATTGCCATCGTATGTAGTTCTATAATTGTCGTTTAGAACTTTTATTTATATTCTTTCTTCTAGATTTTTAATTTATGATGAATGAAAAAACTACTTATAAAATCTCTCTGAAGAAAAATTCAATACAAACTACAGTTACTACAATTGAACATTTCAGTATATTTTCTTTCAAACATTCTCTCAACTAACTGTACACAACTTCATACCGCGTTTTAATTGTTCGTCTTTATAACATTATACGTCAATTCAAAATAATGTCAGCGTTCAGTTTTTCAATAAAAATATTTGTGAAGTTAAATAAATAATAAAAAGTTCCGAATGTGATAAGAAAAACTACGTAGTATGTATATGTATGAAATCGTATAGAATATCAGTGGATAGAGGATTAAAACAGACTATAAAATCACTATTTATCGCAAAAATCGCGAAAATAATCGAGAAAAATCGGCAATTTTATCGTGATTTCGCGCACGATTATCGTTTCGATAAATCGCCAATTTCTTACCGATTTTAAGGACATGGGATTGCATTGATTTTTCCTTGCAGCTAAGCACTTCATTTATCTTCATCATTAGCCATGAATTTTATGCCAAAAGTAAAGCAGCAACTCAGTAAATAATAGAAAAGATCTCGGATCAAAATACATTGTGAACGCTTTGCCAATTCTACGTCTATCTACTGTTTACATCAGAAAATCGTATTCTAAAGATCTCTTTTTTATTAGTTGTCGACCTAGAGTGCCATAAGAATAAATCTGTAATCATATAGACTATTATAAAAAACAAGGTTTCATTTTTGTGAATATTTCTTCTACGTTTATTCATAAAAAAGTGATAAATGTTTTAAAAATGAAAAAATAATTTAATTTTACATTTTTTTTTAAATATCCTGAATTAACTGATACTTATTTGGTATCTATTTCAACTGAAGTAACTTCGTCAAACATTAGCGTCGAAGTTGTAACTTCGACACAACCCATGTCGCCTTTTTTTACCAACTGCGTCACAGTTGCGCGTAACTGCAGCGCATTCATCGCAGTGAAAACTTCTATTAGAAACTACGATTACTGCGACGCAGATCAATGTACCTGGGTCGCAGTAATCGTAGCGTACGATCCGCTGTAATTGGCACCGACCAATTACAAGTAAGGAGAAATCACTTGTAATTGGTCACACTCCAACAGTAATACTTAGCCACACATAGACCGTATAAAAAGCACTGCCCATCAGACTTTGGCTCATAACTCATTCTACTACAAAAAGTAGAACATATATTCCAAAACAATTAAATTTTTTTTTCCAAATTTTTTTAATTTTTTGTGCTGAAAAATTTTTTTTAATTCTCAATAAAAATATAAATAAAATGAAAATCTTATCTATGCCATCTCTTTTATCAATTGCGACGCACTCACGCGCAACTGCGTCGCAGTTTGATCGTAATCGAACACATCATTAATCATGTGACGAAATTGCAACTTC